GGTCTGTGCCAAAGAACGGTGGTCAGCCCAGCATCACTGCCACTGTTTTTATGATTTGAACTTCTGTCCTAGAGGTCTTGGTCACATGGTACATCTCTGACATCATAAAACATAATGGTAGTTTCTGTTCTTGTGTACGAGTAATGTGAAAAAGCGAACACAATTTATTCACATTATTTCTTTCTGAAATGAAAGTGAAATTATTTTCCTTTTAAATTTTTCACTTGAGAACAATATGCTAAAATAGTTCTATGTATTCATCTGCATCCTTTAAAATAATTGGTAGTAATAGACCTTGACTGTATGTACAGAGGCTGACCCCTGACCTTTACATCCCCTAAGACCACCTCTTACAGTGTTTCACTTCCTGCCAGCGTACCTATAATAAAGAAAGGCAGACGAGGCTGTGTTTGTTGAACATAAAGTGTCCATTTCTACGCACAAAGGTGCCAATTTGGAGCTGGTTCAGTTTCATGTTGGATCTATAATTCATCTGGTTACAGGGAAATATGAATGTTTAATATGTCAGAGGCGGTGGGGGCCTGTCAAAAGTGCGACCTTGAAACGTCCTTTAAACATCACACGGCGGGAGCGCCGGGCCGGTTAATCTACCAGAGACGAACAACAGGCGCGTTTCTCTTTCTCGTACAATCATAGACAAAGACAGCGTTCCCACTGATGCCTTCCACCGCTTTCTGTTCCCTTTTATACTGGAATGCAAAATGCAGATGAGAAGAGTCAGCCGCTCGTGCGCCGTCTCAGGAGAAGCTGACACTCATATCCAAACATCTGTATGAATACCAAAACACACGGGGAACAGTGGAGGATGAGAGGATGAGAGGGGGAGCGGGGGAGAGAAAGGCAGAGCAGTTATGTAGCTAGAAAGCCAGTGTTCTCCTCTCCTTCCAGTTCTTTGACCAAACAAAGAGCTACACGCGTGGATACCTTTGTCCTCCCGCTGTATTCTCCACTGGGATATTTATTCTGAGAAGGAACGATGCACAACAAGGGCTCGGTCCTGCATCCGCTAACGGGATGAGACGCTGACACTCCCCAGCTGATTATGTGTCTGTCTGTAGCAGTTTGAGCTGCTGCCAATGGAATTAAGTCTAGTATTTTTGAGCAGTGCTCGGCTCACAGCAGAGCGCAGTGCTGCACTTCTCAGATTTCTACCGTCTTCTAGTAGGAAGAAGAAGAAGAAGAAAAAAAACATTTAAATAAATGAAGAAAATCACAGTGGAAGAGTATTAAAATTTTAATGTGACCATTTTGTGAGCCTTCATGTGTGTTTAGGCTTAACACAGAAGGAATATTTAAAAACCAAAGCATGCTGATTGGGAGGCATGTTATTATGGCAGCTCCTTATTCTAACAGCCTTCTGGCTGATTTCAGCTTCAGAGAAAGAAAAGAAAATTCTGTAGTATTATATTAACACCAAGACAACAGTACATTTTGCACTGTATGCCACAATGATCTAATTAACAAATTAATTACAATGAAATATTTCTCTCCCCTTATCTACACAGAGTCGTAATAATTTAACGCATATATTAATAAATTCAAGTATTTGAATGTAATTTTAAAATGTCTTTTCCACATTCACTCACTGGTAATATTTTACACAAATTATGAATTAAAATATGACTTAGCAAAAAATAAAATACCCTACAGTGATTTTATAATTTCTAAATGTTTTTAAACATTTTACCATTTAATGCCATTTTCCTCTTATATTATTATTATATTATTGGCAGTGACTTCTTTCTAACTTTTAAAGCAAAGACACAACATGGTAATGTCTTTGGCCATAATAATAATAATAATAATAATAATAATAATAATAATAATAATAATAATAATAATAATAATAATAATAATGCTGTATTTTGCCTGATTCTTACCAATGTCTAAAGGACACTCCACCACAACACAAAGCCAGTAATGACCTAATGACCTGTATGTCTTTGTTTATATTACACACACACACACACCCAAAGCCAACGTTGGTCCAATCTGAGGTTATGCTCATGATTCAAAACAAAGAAGATTGAGAGACAATTGTCTCTGTGCGTGACACACACACTGTCCCCCACTTTATCCATTTATTTGGTATTTAATCAGGCTCCAGTTTAACTTGTCACTCTGCATCTGGACCTGCGTCAGTTACCCCACACACACACACACACACACACACACAGCTCATCACATACGAAGGCACCGCAGCTTCACAGACAACACGTCTGTGTTGGTGCAGCACTGAAGAAGAAACTTTGATTTGGCTCCTGTCAACACGTCTTATTTCTACATACTGTGTGTCAGTCACGACGTGCCGTATAATCACATCTGTGCCACATCCCCAAACATTTCCTGTCTCTGATCTTCACTTACAGTACATTCAATCACTGAGCACACACATGTACTCACTGCACTGGAGCTAATAAATTCCACACAGCCCAATCTCTTATCTGTAACCTTGGAGCTCATGGTGTTCTGCCTGAGGGTGAAAGAGCAACTGCATGTGTGTGTGTATATATGTGTATGTGTATGTGTATGTGTGTGTAAAAGCTTGTCTCATGTCTCTGCTCGGCCTGGGTACTATACCAAGGCTCAGTTGTGCGTATCTGATTCGTCACACTGGTACATTTACCGTCACAGATTCATCCGTCTTTATTTCTAACAGCTGTCAGTCATCTCTTACTAACTGCCTTTGTCTGTGACACTCACCAACTGACCAGAGAGAGGGTGGCTCTCGCCTGTTTGTTAAGCTGGTCGGTTTCTGTGATCATTCTTAGAAACAGGCCGACGCCATTTTTAGCAATTAGCAAATTAGCAATTTATTATGAGTCCAGTGGAGAGGAGCCAGGAAACAAGAGATAAAATATTGACTTGTTGCCAAAGTCTTCTACCTCTCTCCATACGATTACAGAATTGGTGCTTATCCACTCCACCACGATGGTGGTGACTAATGTTGTTGATCAATAATAATAATAATTAATGACACTGTAGTAGTATATTATACTTTTTTAACCAAATGTACTAGATAATCTAGTACTATTAGTAATGTACTAGTTAATTTTATGGATGGAGAAATTCATGTTAAACTTAAGGAGTAATACAGGATACTCTGGTAGCACACACACACACACACACACACACACACAGGAGCAGAGTATGCACTACACCTTTATACTATTCCAGGCATGCGCACTACTCCAGCACACCTACTCCATCTTTCTCCAGCTCTGGCACAACACATGGACAACACACCCACTGAGTACACAACCAGCATGACACATCGCATGTCTACTCACATAATTAACAAGGACTACTTTGCATACATGAATATCAAATATGCAGAGGTCTAGATTCCCGACACCCTTGTTCTCTCCTCAGTGATATGCAGCCCACCTCACTGGGCCACATGCAGGTAAATATTTCAGTATGGTGCAAAGGCAGCAGGAAACAGGAGGGTGGGTTCAGACCTAGCCTGAACATAAAATGGGTGCTGTTCCCCGACTTAACCCTTGCCTTTCTCCCCCCCACTCCCCCCCCCCATTGTCGTTCCTTACCCCTGCCCCTGCCTCAGCACCTCTCAGCGTGATATACAGCCCTATCCTGTCACCCCTCTCCCTCAGGTTCTCATCCCACCCATAAACCACACCAAAATGAGTCCCTGCTTCACACATCGTCTGCTTGTACAAACTTAACATTCCACACAGCAAACAGTTCCACATTGTCACTGCACACACACACACACACACACACACTGACTTTTAATGTAAGTACATGCACACACACACACACATCATCTGTTCCAGCCACTGGACGCTGCCACAAATGAAACAGAGGACAACAGACTACAGAGTGGAATAACACAGTTGGTTTGTTTTTTCTTACCATCTTAAACCCATTCCACTCCATTTGAGAGATGCCGGCTGGGGTCTCACGCTACCTCTGCTCACACAGCAGCCACAGGAACACCTCAACAATGACCAGACCTTACTATCGCTCTCCTGGCTTCTTCCTTGGCGACTCTCTCGTGGCTCTGTGATCTTAATTTTTTCACTCCCCCTCCTCACTCTTCTTCCCCCTCTGGCTCTGTGTTAGTAGCTGGAGTCTTGGAGGCAGGCACAGAGCAGAGCACTAGAGGCGTGAGGAGAGAGCATCGCCTTCTTCCACAGATGCAGAGAGGAGAGTGATGCTGAGTCTGGGTGAGAGAGTGTTGGGCTGCAGCAAACCGCCCCTTCTCCCTCCATCCCTCCCATCTACCCTTCCCCTCCTCCCCTTCCCCTCCTCCTCCCTCCCATCCACCCAGTCGCCTGCTCAGCTGGAAGGTCATTTCCCGCCCACTCAACCCCCCCACCTCCCCACCATCGTCACCATCACCTGTCCTAGAATATGCGATTGGCTGCACGGCTTGCCTGTCACGCTCTGGGCTCACCTTCCTCTCTCCCTCCCTCCCTCCCGTCCTTCCTTCCTTCCTCCCTATCTTTAATGTTAACACCTTCGCTCTCTGGCTGGCTCTGAGCCCTGGTCGGCGCACGCCAGCCTCAGTCTGCTTTGGCAGAGAAAAGACTTTCAGAATCCCAGCAAGGCAATCAATCGCTGCTGCACTCTGCGCTTGAGTGAGCCGGGCAGCGCGGTGCGGAGCAGAGCTCTTGGAGAGTGATTGCAGCCTCAGGCGCTATGGTAATGGGATATCGGTGCAGCTCTGTATATAAATTAGCTATTACTGGCCTCGTGGTAAAAACCTGCTGCACATTTGCATGGCTGTGGACATGGACGCATGTTGCCTCAGCCGTGGCTGCGTCCTGTCAGAGCTCAAGCACTTTTGCGCACAGTACGCACCACATGATCCCATCTAGTAATCTTTGGCCCGAATGGTTGGAAACGTTTAATTTCAAATACACTAAGAAAAAACAGACGTAGTATAAAAACCTCATAAGAAATGAAGAAAAGAAAGTCCAGCGTTTATGCCATCTGATTCAGAGCCTACTCACCATGACCATTCTTGTGTCAGTACGGACGGTAACGGTGTGCTCGGCCGACAGAAGTGTGTGTAACGGCGGTGAAAGGAAGAAGCGACGCGCGTCACCGGATGGATGGAGAGCGCACAGACGCGGTGGAACTCTGGAGAACGGCTGCACGGCTGTAACGACGCTGCAGCCTCGTCTCGCTATTGTTTAACAAATCAACTCAAACTCTTGCGCACAGATGCATCCTCCCTCCTCAAAGTAAACAAAAAGCCATTAATGCAAAACTCCTCTCACATCCCCAGTTGTCTCCCATTGGCTGGGGAGGTGGGGACTGGGCGGTGTTCTCACGGATGCGAGTGGCAGGAGGCAGAATCGGGAGTCATTATCAACACCCTGACACACACAGAGAGAGGTTGACTGTGAATCAGCTGAGGTGACTTTTATGTTCATGTATGAGCTTAACTGTCCCTCAGATGCTTAGGCTCTAATTTAGCCACATGCTGCTGTGAGGCGTTTTTAGTTGTTGGTTCTCTTCCCACAACCACATTGTGCCCTTCATTACTGTGCTTTGATTTTATATAATCCCTGTCTCCATTTACTCAGATTTTTTTTCTTCTTATATATGAATCCAAACACAAACACACAAACACTCCCTGCGCCCTGCAGCAGGTCTGTTCAGGTTGTTTTTGTCCCCCTATCTTAAGAAAGAGGGAGCTGTTGCCTCCTCTAACAGTTACCTGCAGGCAGCAGCACTTGGCTGTTAAAGCATACACACGGAAAATACACAGCTCTCCACATGTGCGCTCACCTCCACGGGAACACACAGTACAGACAGATATGCCTTTGCAAAACACACACATACTTCCACTGTCACACATTTCCTCCTACAGAAGGAGCTGTTCTGTAGCTGTAATGTACGCGGCCTTAAAGCGGGGCGTCAAACTCAATCACTCAACTGGCCGGAATGTCCCTCAAGCCTACGTTGGGGAGGGCAAATATTTCTTTGGTGAACAGTCAAGTGTAGCCAGAATGCAACGAGGCAGGTCACGAAATTAAGATGCATTATGGGAGATGTAGTTGAATGTAGTTGAGTTGAATTGTGATTAGCTCGCCATGTCTTTGCAGTTAACCCATCCAGTAAACATGACAGTCTATACCAAGTCAACCATGTCAGGTAATGCTTTGGTGGGCCACATAAAACAATGTGGTGGGCCAGATTCAACCTGTGGGCCTTGAGTTGGACACATATGCCCCAGAGGAACAGGTGGACGCCCATTAAGCTGTAGCGTCAGCTCATGCGCAGGTCATTCTGTCTCATGGTTAAACTATTGCTTAGACAAGTGTAGTAATTACGGTCGATCTCCAGGGACTGAACACTGTGCAGTAAAGTGATAACAGCAGTCAGGTCTACAGTGAACCACCAGGGTCTGAACTCCCTTATATACATTCCCAGAGGTCTTGTTGTTTGTACAGCCTGTGTCAACACCTACAATTATATTCATAAATATATACACATACGTATGTAAATATTCAATATTAAGGTCCTCTCAGTAGCTAAAACAAACAGAAATGAAAATAGAAAACATGGAGAAAACAAAAGACTCGCTGCCTGACTGATGGAATAAAGTTTACCACTAATTATAAAACACAATTTAAAAAAGTCCCAACCCCATTTTACTCCTATCACATTTCACTCACCAGTAAAATAGCCTTCGCAACAAATCTTCATCTTCTAGTTTATTTCTAATTTATTTAGAATAATGGAAATGATGGAATTGCATATTGCAACATATTATATAATATATTTTAATTGTTTTGCCACGTGGAGCTAATAAATATCTAAAATTAAACATTAATTTGAATAAAAATTTGTATTCAAGATTTTTGTAATTTTACAATTTGAAGCTATTTGGTTTATTTTTAAATAGATAGCGCTTAGGTTAATTACAAACTCTGACAGTCTGGAATAAAGAAGGGAAAATCTTCAGCAGACCATCAGTTTGGATGAAACTATGTCTTTAAGCTGTATTTATAGCTTCAATAATCTATTGCTATTGGCTACCTTGTTGTAGGGAAGTGGTTTTATTTACATCAGACATGGCAGCGGCAGGTCTGTAAACATTTCCAGTAATTTATTTGTTAGCAAGCTAGTCAGTGTCTTAGTTAAAACATTCATTTCAGTATGTCCCCAAAATATATTTTTTTTATTATGGATGAACCAGATACTTAATGACAGGATGTTTAACTATGGTTTGTATTAAAAATGGCAGCATTATTATTACGTTGTTTCTGCTGTTTAAAAAAAGCCTTGGAGGTTAGCATATGAGGTTAGCATATGAGGTTAGCATATGAGGTCTGATTCAGGTGTTAGCTGTGGGCTAGAAATGCACCACAAAATCACAAAAGTAATGTTTATAATCTTCATAGTGGTACAGTACCAACATGCTGTTATGTTTTTCTATTTTCTAATTTCTAATTTAGTAATGGTTTAATTAAGCCAACATGTAAACATTCAACTTTGACCTCTGGCTTTAGTCAGACCAGGGCAAAATTAGCTTTCTCTAATTTCAGTCTTCTTTTTGGAATGTCTAAGAAGTGATACAAAATATTTCAGTAGTATGGCCCTGATTTAATTTAGGTCAATAAAAACATTTACTTTTTCATTCAATAATTTTTGCCTCTCATTTCAAAATGAAATGAACACAAAGCACAGAACGGAGGGTTTTATAAAGCAATAAAAGTGTCTGTCAGTACTCTGTAAATGAACTATCAGCCCATCTGCCAGGAGCTGCGTGTCATGTTATTAACTCTGAGTGTCTGTGAGTCGTTATGATTTCTAGGAGTAGAGATGGAACCATGTTGTTGCCATGTCCTGGTAAAAGAAACCCACTGTGCTGAACAGTCACAGGCGCTGACAGATGGAGGGAGCTGTTGTTCTCATCTGTCATGGGCGTCCATGACCAGATCCTTTACACTTGTTTGTATGACAGATACTGCACTGTGGCCTATGTCTGTTCATAAAAGACGCAAGTCAATGTAATACAGTTTAAAAAATAGAATTTTTTGGCATGTGTTGTAAAAGGCAAATTAATGCATTATTTTTGTTTAAATTTCATGTCTGTTAAGTTTGAAAATGAAAGGCATTTGTGGCTTATCCTTAAACAAGTATTTCATCTTCACCTGTTAGCAGTGTTCATGAATATCTTCCTAATACCGTACACTCAGTGTCATATCAGCAGAGTGTAGGCCTCCTGTCTGTGTTACCATCCTATTGATTCAGAAAACAAGGGGAGAAGACAAAATGCCACAACTCCTCCAGCACTCCATTGTGTGCTGCGTCTATTCCCTGAACCCTCTCGTCACAGACCTTAATGGATTAACTGCAGACTCCTTTCTCGCTCCTTAAACTCTCTCCGAGTCACTCTCGGTCTGCTGCAAAATATTCACGAAGCCGTGGCTTTGTCAGGCCCTTAGAAATCACAACTCGTTCACGCTGATTCACCGGGGCTCAGAGTCAGACAACTGTTTAAAACGCCACTCGTACACAGCGCGGTATATTCTGCCGACGGCCAACAGGTGTTGTTTGGAGTACAGGTGTGAAAGTGCACGTAGAGAATAACACGTACGGCAAACTTTTAATATGCGGCGTGCGTATGCAGTGATAATTGTGGGAGCTCATGGTTTGAATCTTGTCTTTTGTCAGATGCGCCGTTTCAACACCTCTCTTGTGTGTCACGCTGCATAATAGGCTTCTATTAAAAGGCGAGGAATTGACGATGACGGTGGAAGTGTAACCTCAGTGTGATGGAAGAAAATACCTCCAGTGTTAATCATTTTTACAGCAAAACTTGACTCTGTTTTTTCTTTCCTTTTTTTAAAGCAAGTTGATAGACATGAGAACAAGACACAAACTCAGTAAATGAGTTATCTGAAGATTTCCACGCTGAGCAATCCCAGAAGTCTTTGCACTAAAACAGCCCAAATATATTTAACAGACTAGAACTCCCTTCTCAGTATGCTGCGGGCCTCTGAGGCTCTTTCTGATTCGCCCTTGAAGGAGAGATTTAACTCCCCTATTGAAGTTCTGGCAGGAGAACCATCTTCCTGCGGTACTCAGACTGATGATGGTCTCCCTGCTGGCAGGTGTCCATCCTCTGCCGGTAAGAATCAACAAATAAGAATAATAGCCTCTAACCTGCCCAGTGACTAAATCAACCTGCCCAAACCCAGACAGCTATTAACATGATACGTCTGTCTCCACACCACAAAGTACAGGCTTGTTGTTAGCTTTCACTGTAAATACCCACAGCTTCACTCTCACGATAAGCGGCGGCGTGAGGCGTAGGTATGGACACGGATTTCTGTTCATTTCACGGCTGTAAGCAGACACTGTGTGTGCGTTGCTGTTGTCACTTCAATTAAACCCCCTCATTTCCTTCCTTTTATTGGCAGAGGACCACGGTGTTCTGACAATTTAGTAATAGACAGAAGCACACGGAGCTGATTCAATACGAAAAGTGATGTCCTCCAGCAGAAGGAGCAGATGGTGGTGGTGGGAAAATACGTGGCTCTAATTGAAATTCTGGTTTGCTTGGGTTTTGTTGTACCCGAATAATCAAAACATCAGTGTCTGTACAATGTTTTTCACGTCGTCTTATTGAAAATAATCATAGTATTCACCATACGTTAAACGACTTCACGTACGTCCTGATTTGAAGCCCACACACTGTAAAATTAACATTTTCTTTGAAGTAGCCCTTTATTTTGAATGAATCCGTTTTAAATGTTGCAGTGACCTTTTCTCCCTCTCATGTACTGTAATGCTGCCAGTCCAAACTCTCTGCCTCCGTCAGTCTCCCCGGCGAACACGCCGTATATTAAAATGTTTTTGCTCGTGCGGATCCCGGAACAAGACGGCGCTGCGTTTGTCGCAGCTACTTTCTATCACTTTAACTCAAAGCGGTTTTGTACAGCTGGAGCTGTGCAGACTGCCGAGATGTGACAGGGGGATGTTTAAAAGCTCAGTCAGAACACTCTGTAATAGCGAGTGAACACTTGTTCAGATCTCTGAGTAAACTGCACAGAGCTCTCCTGTTTTGTACATTTTCTTCTAGATTTAAATAGCAAGAGATTCGTTGTTTTGGTTTGTTTAAAAAAAAGTCATGTAAAAGCACATCGGTTTAGAGAATAAATGCTGTTTTGGTAAGATCTAAATTTGTTTGTTTTGCTAATAATTACGGACGGAATAATACTTTGAAAAACAAACAGATTTAATAGTTTGGTTACTGTTACTTAGCTTGATGAGCTTCAAATTCTGTTTGTTTGTTTTTGTTTTATTTTTAACCCAGCTAACATCTTGGATAGGAAGAGGGATGTGTTCAAATGAACAAACAAATATTTTTGCTCATCACCACAGCAGTACATGTCTCGTACAGCACTGGTCCAGACTAACAGTGTAGCCAGCCTGTGATTGGTCAGATGACAGGGTCAGTCAAGTTTGTACTTGTGTATCTGTGAACTTTAGTGTTGCTTATTCCTCACAATAATTTTGAGTCTGTGAAGTTGTTTGTCTACAGAAAGTTAGCTTTGGATGGAAGTGTTTTTTTACCTGGTTGGTACATGTTGTACTGTAGTAGAAGTACACTGTAGGTGTACGTGACATTTTGGATTTCTACAGGTGTGTTGTGGGCATCATCTACAGCTTCCTTTAAAATATTTGTGGAGCAGTACTCAGTGTAGGTCTGTTCATCTCACTGGCAGGGGTTTGGAGGTTGACTAGTACGGTCTGAATGTCAAGCTACAATTAAAATATGAAAAAATAACTTCACTAGTTAGGGCAAAACATCAACAACAGAAATGAACTCCGTCACACAGTCTGCTGCTCCTCTTATACAAATAACTTCCCTGTCCTCGGGGACATTCTCCTGCTGGGGTTTGAAACACATGACCTTAAAGGCAGAGAGATAAAATGTGAACACACTTTACCTCAAACATTTACTAAATGAATTTCTTCTAATTTGCTGTGTTAATTTGATATGTGTTAATGTTTGCTATAATTCTGTTGTTAACTTTGGAGCAAATGTGTCCAGAACAAAAACCTGAGTGCTTTTATATAGATCAAGCCCACGCAATATATATATATATATATATATATCAGAGCTCCATATATAAACGCACCGTGACTTGTGATAAAAAAAGAAAAAGAAAAAATAACCTTTTAGATTTTAAACATCAGATCCAGAGTCCGACACAGGGCAGGCCTCCGGCATGGTGGACCAGAACATGACCACGCTACACAAATCCAGCTCTCTAAATGTCACTTCATGCTTAACTGCCCTTTATCATGCTTGAAGAAAAGCAAGTGGGCAATTCACAACAAGAAAACCTTTAGTGTAAATGCCTCCGTGCCT